CCGGTAATGGTATGTTATTATTATTAAAGTATTATTACTGGTATTAACAATATCTGCATGCATGGATAATATTATTATTATTATTTTAATAATTGAAAAACACGTTTTTGTTACTCAAATATTTTTTTGGATTTAGATAATTATTCATATGCTAATTTGATATTTTTATTTGTTTACATTAAATTTGAAAATATTAAACAAGTAGTTTATTCAATAACGTCTTATTTTCATTTCATCGCTTAATAATAATCTATAGGTACCATTAAAATTTCAGCTCGGGTTTCCTGGTCCCGTCGTGTCCCTAATCAGTTCCAGTTATCCATTAAATGTGGCAAGATTCCCGAATGGAAATGTCGTAAATTATTATCAAAGGCCAATACTACCAACACCAATTCCATCGTCAACCAGCATGGAAACCAGCGGTAAATACATCCTAATCTTACATGTAGTTCTGTAACTGACGTTTCTCCTCTCGACCAACCTCGACCAACTGCTACTCAATAATAGAGTTTATAAAAACAAAATAACATATAGTCTTTCCAAATTATGCATCTTTGGTGTAGGCGAAAATAGCGTTCGATATTTGCTGAAGACTTAGGCTGTGGACTAAAGTCGTATTATAATAATATTAGGTATTTAATAAACTCAAAAATGTTTAATAATGTTTGGTGGAGAGTTATAAATTTTTTTTGGGAAAGATTTGTCCCAAGTTTCCCTCCTATTTAAAACCTTATTTTAATTTGGTATTTTGTCAACTTGAAATCGGCCATTCCACTTTTCCCAATGATACCCTCTCCCACCACCTATATTTTGTGACAGATTAAACAGTTGCGCATGAGATATATAGGTACCGTTCTAAATCAGTTTAGTTATAAGTTATAACTAAGAGCCCGGAATTATATTCTTTTGCATATTTTTTTTTGAGTCTATGCAGTCAGACGGGGGTTTGAAATCTTTACGAATCATGAAACCGGTGTAATAATGGCAAARGTTTTTTTTGCATATTGGAGAATATATCGATTAATTTGTATAGATGTTCGATATTTTTGGTTGCAGTGACGTAAATAATATAAATTATATTATGTCTGATAATAGTGATAATGATATGATATTGAAAATATACTATATATTTATATACAATCGTCCATCGTATATATAATAATATGATAACTGATTTGCAATATGCTCCTGTGACTTCAGTTGACGTCGAACGTTCTTTTAGTACATATAAAAACATTTTGACCGACCGTCGCACAAGTATTTTGGCTATTTTTAAAGAATATAATTCCGGGCTCTATAACATATATTATATGCAATTTGGAATCACAGAAAAAATAGTATATTTTGTAGTGACTTACATTGCATATGAGTAGCAATAAATGTAGCGAGATTTTTTTTATTATGTTGGAGAATTGGTTCATACTATATATACACATTTCAAATTGGTGCACCATGGTGACTTCTATCCGTTTAAAAAAAATATTGATTGCGTTTCTGTTTTAATTAATTTAATTTCTATACATATTTTTTTTACTTAAAAGGGAACGACGACAAGCTCTAGTAAAAACTAGAAATGTAGATGATGGACCAGGTCCAGTCGAGTCCTTCGCCAGATCCAGTTATCCATTAAATGTGCCAAGATTCCAGAATGGCGATGTCATAAACTATTCCACCATCAACATGGAGGTAATAAAATGGATTCGTCAACAGCTGTCAATTGAGAAGATGAATCGTATTCAGGAATTCAAATTAAAAAACTTGAATCGTCTGTCGTCCTCAAAAACACCCCAGCGTTAAATGTCGAGATTAGTTAGTCGTTTATTACGAAAGACGACTTGTTACATTTTAATAATTAGTACAACTATTTGATATTTTAAATTTTTTATGTAATTTCTTAATAATTTGGACCAAATGTAGAATAATATGATGATTCCATTTAATACATTTGTAATTGATTATTTTAAAATATTTTACTTTATCTGTTTAGTTAAAATTAGTACAATTACAGGGTTCTAAACCAATTTTAAAATTATAAGAATGAGCACTGATGTTTTTTTAAATTTATTACTATACAATTATTTACATGTATTGAATTTGATATAATTAAATGTATTCGATTTAAATAAGTAAATTATTGACATACATCATGAATGACATAAAATTGTCAAATTTACTAAACATTTGTTGRAATTTTCATGTAAGGTATTTTAATTATTTAATTTAATAATTACATTAATAGCAAAAGTGATCATCATTTTCTTAGAAATTTTAGATATATTAACTAAGCCGTTTACATAAATAAAATTAGATCAAATATAGTAGGTATCTTGTTGAACATCTTGTAACATGATTTTTTTAAATTAATTTAATTGGGCATTATTTGATTGAACATAATTTTGATTCATATAATTATTTAATTATACATTAAATATAAATATTTAATTCATATAATTTTGTTTTTGATAAACTTATTAGCTTGTCTTAATCAGGCTCCTATTTTTTTTTATAATGTATCCATATATTCTTATATTCTTTGTTGGTTATTTTATGAAGAGCATAGCAAACATTTAAAATCAAATTGGCCATATGAAAATAATTTATGACATGAATAACAATATCAAATACTAAATACATAAAAATAAATAGTAAATACAAAAGTAGCATGTCATGATAATGATGAATGATGATGTATACCCTAGTAGCACCAGGTGTCCTTAAGGATTCTTTACGGAGTCMTCGTCAGGAAAGTAGGGACTCCCTATGGATTCCCATGACTGTCCCCAYAATCTTTGAATGCTTGCCACAAGGATACCAATTCGGGAGTCCTTCATGGCATAGCTGTAGGACTTCTACGACGGATAGCCGTAGGACTCCTACAAAAGATGCATAAAAGAATTCTTAAAAAGAAGCACGTATATATGTTGATATTATAATAGCAATATTAAAATTTATTATTAATAACAAATACAATACTAAAAAAATTAGTAAAAAWATTTTATTTWATTTTAATAYGCATTACAATGCATTACAGAGTTGATAATTAATAATAAGAAGCATTTTAATATTGTAAGTATTTAGTAACAATTTTGTTTTTACTCTAATTTTTTTTTTAATCTTTCTTT